GTTGCATCCAAAATGTATAAAGAACACTTAAAACTCAATAATACTAACAATTAAAAAAATGAAGGAAAGATCTGAATAGGCATTTCACTGAAGATACAGAATGACCAACATGCACAGGAACAGTCATTAGGGGAGCGAGTACAAGTTAAATCCACGAGACACCGCTTCATACCCACTTCCATGCATCCGTGAGGATGTGGAGAAGCTGGAACTTCATACATTGTAGGAGAGACTAAAATGGTGCAGCCACTTTAAAAAAAGGTTGGCAATTTCTTTAAAAAAGGTAAACATAAACTTACCATACAGCCCGCAATTCCACTACTAGGAGCCCACCCAAGAGAAATTAGATGTCCACTCAAAAATTTATACATGAATAAACTTAGCATCATTCATTCATAACAGCCAAAAAGTGCTAACCCGAATGTCCACAAGTGGTAAATGAAGAGGCAAAATGTGCTAGGCCAATGAAACGGTCTGTTACTCGGCCGTAAGAGAAATGGAGCAACTCACACATGCTACAGCCCAGGTGAACCTTGAAAGCTGCTAAACGAAGAAGCCACACACAGAAGACCATGCATTGTGTGATTCCATCTGTAAGAAATGTACAGAAAAGGCAAGTCTACAGGGGCAGCAAGTAAATGAGTGTCTGCCGGGGGCTGGGGTAGGGATAGGGAGTGGATGCAACTGGGGGTGATGGAGGGCTTTTTTTGAGGCGATGAAAGTGTTCTCAAGCTGGACCGTAGTAATTACTGCTTGCACAGCTCTGCAGATTCACTAAAGCTCACGGAACTGAGTGGGGCTAAAATGAAAGTGAAAACACCAGTATCTGAGTCTCTGGCCTGTGGTAAAGAGAAAGAGGAGAGTATAGATAGTCGGCAACCACGATGGCAACACACAGCTTAACTATCAGCTGCTTTGGGCAGCTAAGTGTGGCAATTGTTGGTGCTGATATACGCTGGCATAAGTTTCCTGCTAAGCACACGAGCTTGTTAGTTGTTTCCCGTTTAGGAACTAATACTGTGGTGCTGAGGTAGAGAAATACAGTGTTGGCATGATTCTGGCAGCCTCTCCAGTCACTCCTATTAACTCGGCAGGAAGGGGAGAGATTAAGAAAGTCATTAAATTGGATGAGCCTTGATAGTACAGTGAATCCCTAAGCAAAAAGGGCCAGAATGGAGGAGAACCATACCACCTGCATCAGAAACACTGTCAGAATAACTTGCCATCACGGTTCTGACATTTAACTCAACTCTGGGGAGCAGAGGACTTGGGAGGCTTCTTTTCTTGTGCCCTATTTCTCAATGGGATTCCCTAGGTGTGATAAGACAGTACTGAGAGAGCCAATTAAATGCAAGAATCTTTGTGAAATTCCTCAGTTCTAGGGAGCGCATGGAAACAAGAATTTATCTTCAATTTGAAACTAAACAAGCTGTCAAATAGAGGTGATCCATTCTCCAGGTCTGGGGCAAAAATAAATTCTATTTATGAATAACTGCTTTAAATGAACTTTAATCACAAGAAATTTCCATAAGATAAACCTAACTTCCCCACACTGAACAACAAAAGCTCCCTCAAGATGATAGCGCAACCTTTCCAGGTGTGTTTCTGGAGTGCCGATGGAAATCCCTCCAGGAGTATCTTTCTCACCTGTATTATCAAAGCACAGAGGCCTGCTCTCCTGTCTCAGCCTGACGCCTCTGGACTACAGCGTGCGCCCTCAGATGAGAGCCGCTTCCAATGCCGAGCACCTGTCATCCCCATCTTGTGACCAAGAGACATGGCCGAGAGCCATGGTGCTATAGTTACTTAATAAGGAGAGAACCTCTGTTAACAAGGTCACTGTGAAGCAACAGAACCACGTGTGATTCACACTCTCAGATAATTATAGGGAGCATACAGCATCCTTCTTTGGATCTAGTTCTAAGTGATTTTTATGGATGTACCCTCCCTTCCTTGACTTAAACACTCTCAAAATACAAACCAAAAAAAGGGGGGACAGAGTTAAAAAAATGAAGCTTCCTCAGAAGCTGGACAGATCTAAGTAATTAGCTGTAATCACAGTTTTACAGACTCTGGTCTTTGTTCCTCTCCATTAAAATGTTTCTATCTTTTTTGCAAAATAAGTTATTTCTCATCTAAAGGAGAGGAACTCTATCTTGTCCTGACTGCGCAGCTCACACATAGCAAATCCTGGAATATCTAGTAACCAGTCATACATGTGACTAAGACCCATGACTCCCCGGAGCTGGTAACAGGAGGAAAACAGTTAGTGCACCAGGGGGCTCACTGACCCAGGGTCTATTCCCCACACTGCTCCCTGGTATGCATTAGACATTCAAGAAACAATGAAGTCTGAGCTCACCTACAAATGCACCTGGCCAGTTATCGACTGTCTTGGAGACTAGAACTAAGAAATGGAGTTTAAGAGGGCCACCTCACTGCTAGCAAGGTTGTCCCCTGCCAGGCCTCTGGCTAGACTGACCTCCCTCAGCAGGAGCCAGCTGCCAGGGCTGAAGAAGTGGAAGACAGGTGCTTTGAGGCTGGCAAGACATGGTATGAGACCTGGACTCTGGCCTAAAGTTGCCAGAACTGGTCAAGAAATGCACTGGTTCAAGAAGGGTAACGTTTAAAAAGAAACTCTACCTACTCTCCCCACTGACTCCCTTTGATTTGGAGACTGTCTCAAACCCTAGAGATTCCTTTTCAAAGAGGCACCAGTGATACAAGGGGAGATGTCCGGGGTTCCCAACCTGCTGAGAAACTCCTGTCTCAGGGGCAGCAGGAGGACCACCTGTACATGTAAGCTGCTCCATTTCTTTCTTGGTAAAAGTTAATAATTTGCTTCCATTTTTGAGGAATTATTTATCAACAACTGACTCAATTGTGGGAGGAAAATGTTATATATATATATTTTTTAATGAAATAGATTACGAGTTCCATGATTAAGAAACTAAGGAGCTAGCCAGTGTGTAGGAAAGGAGAATTTCAGGACTAAAAATGCTTTAAATGTCATATGTGACCACAGGATTTACTGTCCAAACTGAGATACTTTGGGAAAGAAAAGAACACTATTAATAATGATGCTAGGAATGCAGGGATAAACCAGGACTGTCCCAGCATTCTGGGACCTAGCTACCCTACAGTATAGTCAGATTCTTTATTTAAAATCTCTCAATGATTCCCCATCACTTTGGAGTAAATTTTAAACTGGTCTTATCCCTGTAACATGGGCATACAATATACCTCAACTGTAGCACATATCGCATTGGATAAGGGGGCTGGTTTTTGTCTCTCCACCCCCACCAGTCTGTGAACTCCACCGGCCCCTAAACTCAAGGGCAAGAGTCTGTCATGGGCCTTCCTGCTCCACCTTCATTCTTGCCACACAGCAGCACTCAGTAAACACTCAAATTCATGGCTGTTCATTTTCCACCCAACATGTCGTCTTACAGATTTTCTTCTAGCCATGCTTTTTTCACCCACTTTGCATATTTTCCAGCTGCTACTTCCTATGTGACTTTAGGCAAGATATTTAACCTCTGTGCTTTGGTTTAACTCACCTACACATCTATGCCTGGCTTTCACAGTAAGCACCCTGGAAGCTTCTTGAAGGCAGAGATATTTGCCCTTTTGATCACTGCTGCACACTCACACTAGAAGTAACACCTGGCAGAACAGGCGATTACTTAACGGGCATGCTGAAACCTTAATGACATACACTTCTCTCTTCTGTGCTTTTTCCCCAATGCTTTGTTTTGCCTGCCAGTGCCACATCCTCTGTATCCACATACTCCTGTATCTTTAACAAAAACCTGGCACCACTCCCTTTAAAATGGGACACTGATAACTATCAAACTCTATGCCAGCAGTAAGAACACTTTACCTGAAATAAATTACATTACACTCCTCAGTCTCCGGCCTACCAGCTGTTCAATTTTAAGCACAAACAATGACC